CGCCGGCCCCCGCCTGGCCCCCGGCGCCTACGGCAGCCCGGCCCACCTGCCCCTGCGGCCCATCCTCCGGCCGCGCAAGTACCCCAACCGGCCCAGCAAGACGCCGGTCCACGAGCGGCCCTACCCGTGCCCGGCCGAGGCCTGCGACCGCCGCTTCTCCCGCTCCGACGAGCTGACGCGCCACATCCGCATCCACACGGGCCACAAGCCCTTCCAGTGCCGCATCTGCATGCGCAACTTCAGCCGCAGCGACCACCTCACCACCCACATCCGCACGCACACCGGCGAGAAGCCCTTCGCCTGCGACTTCTGCGGCAGGAAGTTCGCCCGCTCCGACGAGCGGAAGCGCCACACCAAGATCCACCTGCGCCAGAAGGAGCGCAAGGCCGCCGGGGGCCCCCCAGCCGCCGCCGGCCCGGCTGGATCCTCGGCCGGAGGCGCGCCCCCGCCTGGCCCGCACTGCTCCGGCACCGCCTGCTCCTCCCGGACGCGGACGCCTTGATGCGCCTCCTTGGGGCCACTGACTGCCTGCCTGCCAGCCTCCGAGCCCGCCGCCGGTCGTCAGCAGCAGGGAACCGGGCGAGGATGCCTCTCCCCGCGCCGCGGGCTTGCAGGCCCACCCACGAACTCTCCCGGCGCCAAAGTTCGAGGCAAGCTCGACTTCCGAGCGCGCTCTGGCGACGCACCCGGTGGTTCCTCGCCGCGGAGAAGGGACGGGTTGGGGGGGGGGGGGGGGGGGGAGAGAAGGGCTTGTCTTGTGCACTTTATAGCTTCGCTGCCTTCGCTCCAGGGAAACCGGCAGCCGGGATCGTTGGCTGCCGCTTGCCAAAGCCCTCCAAAAAGAGAGAGAGACAGAGCGAGAGAGAGCGCGCGCCTTGGGAACTTAAAAGACCGAAGCGCCCTTGTCGTTTTGACCTTAGCAATAGAAATGCAACTAATCAAGCAGAGACCCAAAACACATTTACTTGTGAGTTGCATTTGGGGGGTGGGGATTTAGGAGTAAATGCGTTCAGGATCGGGATACTCTTCGAGGAAACAGAAGTGCAATGAGGACGGGGCCAGACAGGAGGCGTGGCAATATCTGCCCCTCTTCTCTTTAACTTCCCCTTTTTAAGGTCCTTTTCAGTGGCTGTTCGCCGCCAATGTAGATTCCCCCCTTCCGGTATTTTGTGTGTGTGTTCGTTTAAAAACAATCTGCACTGTTCTCAGCCTCCTCGACCGTGGTGGTGGTGGTGGGGGGAGGCTGGAATCTAAGAGGCTTGATGGGAGAAGTTTAATTTATTATTTAAAAGGGAGGCTGTATATACATTCTCTGGTGTCTGGAATGCATGCGGTGGTGTTGAACTGTCCTTGGTGCCTTTTTTTGATGTCCACAATGGTTCAGTGGCTGCATGTCAATTGGTTGCCTTATTAATCATCTTTAGGATGGGATTAGGGACCCGCACACACACAATAAATTTCCAGCTCCCTGATTTTAGTATAGCTGTATATTTCTGCCTATTAATATTTGGATTTTTTCTAGAAACTCTATTTTTGTATGCACTGGGGGTTTTTCTGTGACTTATAATGTGTTGCTTTTGTAGTAATAATAATTTTTAAAAAGGGATCAGAGGAGAATGTAAATAATTTTGCTAGCGTTGACAGTGGGAGTTTGTTGGCTCCGGACAGGGACAGAAATATTCTAATCATGCACACCACTAACTGGAACCATCCCCAAGAAAGGTGGTTTTTGCCTTGACTATTGTGTAAATAAATGTTTTGTGGGGGGTAAAAACACGCACCTCAATTTGTCCTGGTAGTATTTCAGCATCGCTTTACCCTTTATAATCCATCCGTGGGGGCTAGAGGGTGGGAAGGAGAAGCGTACCCTCTCCTTGGAGAATTCCCCCTCCCTTGCAAGCTCATCAAAGTGCTTTGGTGCTTTCAAAGATCTTTGACACTAAAATAACCACTGAAGTCAGTGGGAATCATGCAGTGTTCCCTCTAAGCTGTGGAATCTGAGCAAAAATTCTACTTTGTGAGCTACTGGCATTAAAGCTGTGAGCGAGCAATTTGGCTACTGCATAAATTACTTTGCTCTGGGCCCATCCTTCCTGAGCTAAGACGAAAATGTATGAGCTGGAGGATAAAAAGCTGTGAGCTAGCTCACACTAACTCCGGTTAGAGAGAACACTGAATGGGTTACCCCAAAATCCTATAAAACAGGACACAGGTGGAGCAGCTTGGCCAGTACGGTTAGATTAAAATGTCAAGACCCACAACAGTTTAGCACTGGATAAGGAAAACCCATGATACTGTACACAGAGGAGAGAATCTGGAGTTATAGCCTTTAAATAGTGTCTCAGACTTGTTGAAACTACCTCTCTTCTAACCTTACTTGGCCTGTTCCATAGTTGCTTAACATAGAGTGCAATCATCCCAAAATCCCCCCCGTGTAGCTATTGCAGACTGAAGAATCTGCCATCACCTGTACAGTTCTTCTGTACCTTCACACACACCGCCACAGATAGCTGCTGACAGGGGAGGGGCTTATGGTATTGTTTGGATGGTACTTGTGCAATCATATGCCACAAGTTAACTTTTTTCATTTATGAAAATGAGTTATCTCACAAATTAAAGAATTAGTCAAGCCATATGTCCCTAATAGTGACTGCATCCATTTATGAGAGAAGTGTGGTCCTGTTTAATTAAGCAAAACTTGCTGTCAGCACAGCAGTGGTAAAACAGGGCTGCACTTACCTGTAACTGATGTCCCTCAAGGTCTTCTGTGCAGGCATACGTTGCACTTGCGCAGTCCCCCCCCCCAAAAAAAAAGAAATGTGGGACTGCACAGAAGATTAACTTTTTCTGTCCAAAATGACCCGGTCATCCCAGAGGCCATAGCCTGTGTTGAAAGAAGCATAAGGCCAGGTCAGTGAACTCAGGGAAGATGGGTGGTTCAAAATCAAGGAACAGTGTGGTGTAGTGGTTAAGAGCATCAGACTAGGATCTAGCAGACCTGGGTTCGAATCCTCATTCTGCCATGGAAGCTTGCTGGATGACCTTGATCCAGTCACACACTCAGCCTAACCTACCTCACAGGGTTATTGTGAAGATAAAATAGAGGAGTTTAGCTGGAGATCCTGGAAGTTTTTTGTCAACATCTGGATGTGGAACAGCGGTTACTGGGTGTGTCTGGAGAGGGAGGTATTTATGAATTTCCTTCATTGTGCAGGGGGTTGGACTAGATGACCTGGAGGACCCTTCCAACACTATGATTCTATGAGAGGGGAATGACATAAGCCACTTTGGGTCCCCTGCACTGGGGAGAAAGACCGGGTATAAAATGAAGTAAAATCAATTGTATGTTCACTCATAGGTGAACTTTGGCTGCATTCCTAGAACAACTGCTTGAGTGTAATCCCCACTGAATAAAATGGGGCTGATTTCTGAGTAGATTTAGGATTGCTCTCACTCTCAAGTAAGCACTGCGTTACTTGCGACTAACTCTGACTGAATGCAGTGGCATTTGCTCCCAGGTAAACTATTCATAGGACTGCAACATTTGACTTTTTTCAGGACAGCAGCACTTTGAGCTCTTGCAATCAGAGAAACTTTCAGTCCCTAGTTGGTGGTCAGGCACAGGGCCGAGGGCCGTGGGGGATGTGTGGGAAATTCCACTAGGCTAGCAAAAGCACCTTATGGGAGTCTAAGCAGTTCTCTGGGCTCCAGCCTACTATGATGGCGGGGTGCACAGGTCACTTGCTAGAGGCTGCTGGACAGCTGAAAAGTCCAAAATCTGGAGGCAGCAAATGGGTAAAGCCTCTTCCTGTGTACTTTACGAAAGAGTCTGGGGGCAAACTGAATCCCTTCCTCCAGTCACACTCAAGTATCGAGGACTTCCCCTGTTAGCAATAAATAGAACTGTTATTAATGTAAATGAGGGCGTTTTGACTCATTGCTGTTCCATGGCTTAAGGCAAGCTAATTCAAGCAGGCTCAGTAAATAAAATACCACGCCAGCCAACCAAGTGCCCACTCGGAGAAAGTGGCTTTCTGGGCTAGAATGGGTGAGGGAAGACTCTGCTGCTTCGTGGAAGGAGCATCACGGCAAAAATGGCGTTCCATTTCAACAAATCAACCGCAGCAGATGGGCCGCTTTTCTGTAAATGTCTCTTTAACGGAACCAGATATCTCTGTAAATAGATATGTGAAAGTTGGGTATTCCTTTAGTGGAAAAAGTGAGAACACTGAGGTCTAATTTTTGCTAGATTTGCTAGATTATGGAAATCCAGTGTCTCGCTTGCCTGCCTACTTGATAGCCAATATTGTGGTCATTTTTGACTGAGAAGAGAAAGAAGTACATACATTTTGTAAAGCTTTCTAGCCTACCGGAAAGTCCTGCCTCAAGGGGACACACGAGTAGCTATTCATATAGGAGTTGCACAGTTGATAATTTTGGCCCTGAATGTTTATTGCTTATCAATTACATCATAGATCATTAGAGACCTCCATGTCCTAGGGCTAGTTCATGTAACATCTGGCTTCTTCTTGGTAGTTGAATGTTTCAGCCAGCTATTCATGTAGTAATGGGTTAAGTGACTTTGAAAAAGAACTACATGCTGTACAAAACATACAAACGGGCCCTGCTTACTGCACTTTCATGGATACACGTGGTTGTGTGAACCAGACATCTGACTTTAGCAGAAGAGCTTCATATCCAAAACAAGATGGACAGGGGAAAGGTGGTGCAAAAAGACAGGATGACAAACAGTGAGGGAAAGGGAGGATTAACTAGTAACAGGAAGCTCAAGGTAGCAGTGCGGCTATCTGTGGCCAATCGGACTGAATGGTGCCAAGAAAAACAGCGCTCCTGGACATTCTCCCGTCCAGAGTCCTGGTTACACTGGGGTGCTTCTTCACTGGCCCTTTTCTCTAGATTTCATGTCATTCACTCTAGCACATCCAGACATCCCTCCTATGCCATCATATCCTTAATACTTCCCCATTACCCTCCCACTTTTTGAACAGTGTTCATTTGTGGAGATGATTTTTGGCTTCAAATTGTAGATCAGTCCTTGTAGGGCAGGGCTGACAACAATGCCCTTTAAGCAACCTCCTCTGCTTCCATCTCGGATTAGGCATCTGCCCCCATCTGTGGATGAAGGATGCGGCCTCTTATTATTGTTACGTGGTACTGTTCTTCTGTGGAACTCAAAAACAACCCACTTATAACTTCTAGGAGGTTCCCCAACCATGCATCAGTCAGACTCAGAAATGCTTTATTTTAACAAGGCCCCACCTTTAGGTCATGGTATAAAAGGCATAGTTTATGGGGACTGCACTGCCAGCCACAGACACACATTCATAAGAACAAGAGAAGCCATGTTGGATCAGGCCAATGGCCCATCCAGTCCAACACTGTGTTAAACTGTGGCCAAAAACCCAGATGTCATTAGGAGGTCCACCAGAACTCCAGAAGTCCTCCCACTGTTGCTCTCCAAGCACCAAGAATACAGAGCAT